TTACCATGTAGTGCCACCTGCAAGTTATCCCTGAAACTCAGACATTAAAATGTAGGAAAAGTAGGTAACGCTCCTGTCGATAATGATTATCGATAGGGTAATTTTGATAATTTCTTTTAGAAACACTAAATAATACGCATTTGTTGATTGTAAAAAAATAGTAAATTTATATATTATAAATCACTATGAAAAGACGTAAGAAAAAAAAAAGAAATATGATATAAAAATAGTAAGAAATTTAACACGGTTATAGGTGAGATCAAAAATGCATATTAAAATCAAATTTAGAGATGCTAAATTTTACTTTCCTCGTCATCGTCTATAATACTTTTTTCCACCTTAAAATACACGCATGTAGTTGAAAGCGTGCGAACACGATCGAGGTCGAGTATGAAGCGGGTAGTAAGCTTGCTAAAATTAGCGAGAAAGAAAGAGAGAGAAAGAGAGAAACATGTTGCGTCAACAAAAAGAAAAGACGATGCTACTGTTTGTGTCGGTTGCTTTGATTGGACGATCTAAAGAACGTGGCTGCCAATCGGAACGTGCCTTTTGAAAAAACTAACTCTAATAAATTTCAATTTACCAACACGACGCGCCTGGATAAAATTAAATATATCTATATTTTATTTTTATTTTATTTTTTTTTTTTTTTATTGTTCTCCATTAATGTCGCTACTGTTTTTTCATCTAAACAAAATGGCTTGGCAAAAATATGGTCCCGTTTGATATTTAATACTTGTTTGCGCTTCGAGACCTGTCTCGATAAATTTATTAACAACATTTTCTTTATCTTCTCTTACGCGCGTTAACAATTAATTTCAATTGAAATTGACGACTTAAAATAAACAAGAAAAAGAATACACAGTATTGATTTAATAAACGAATGAACGTATCGATTGGAATGTTATATCATCCCGCGCTTATGGTGCCGAGAAATAAAAAAAAAAAACGACGTCTTTAGCGTAGCAAGGTTAAAGAAACATATGCTTCGGCCCACTGAAAGTGGATTTAAAATTAACTTTTGCTTATGCAATAGAGAGAAAAGGGTGAGAGAGGGAGGGAGTTTAAATAGGAAACTTATGGAGATTACGTAGGGTGTTTAAAAATTCAGCCAATAGTAGTACCTCGCATTCTTAAATTTTTCTCTTTTTTTTATGAATTATGAGATGCGTATTCCTATTGATGGAAGTACGGTTTCTATGCTTATTTAAAAAATGTTCGGGTATACATAATGCCAATAATTATAGATCAAAGATTTTCTTTTTCATTTTAATCTAATATTTAAACTCTTTCACATTTATATTAGCGAACGAGCGTGGTAAACGACCCGAATAAAGCGGCAAAATGGATGCACGATTCAGGAGCAATCTCGACATGATCGGACGCAACGAGCCAATCACGAGAAAAGCGAAATTCTGGCAAAGTTACGTTCGGGCTCTGAAAGGTAAAAAGAAACTTCATTGGCTTCGAATTTTTTTCTTTCCTTCCTTCGTATATATAACAATCAAATTATTTCTTCTTGTTTTCTTCGTGTGTTTTATAATCTAGGTACCGACGATATCAGAGCTCCGGAACATACGCACAGACCACGCAGTATTTTCCGCACCGATTACCCCGAGTTGCATACCACCTCGCCTACTTGGCCATTTGGAAAATCGATTTTTGAAAATCCTATTCATGCGGCTGACCGTATCAACACCCCTGGATATAGGTATGTATTATGTACACATTTTATCGATTTAATTTATTCAAATTTACCGTATCAGAATAATCGACCGCAAAAAAGTTGGCATAGAACCTCAACAGCAAAAAAAAATGAATAAGTACACACTATTTATATTCTATAATTGCACACAAAGCAATGAAGTTTTCTATTGTTTTTTGTTTTCAATCAATTGCTGACTTTTTGTTTGTCCGACTCCTTAACTTTATTTTATCAAATATTTTTTATTTATCGTTAATTAGTTGAAAATAATTATTACACTTTGAATAATTATGAAATGGCGACGTCATGTGTGGGAGATATGTTATACGTATACGCAACCACAAATTCAAGGCGCAAGCGCACTTTGAAAAAAATGAAAGTAAATTTGGTATATACCTGCAGGAGATAAATTTAAAGTTGATGTCCGAAGTAACAACCTATAGGGTAATGAAAAGAAATAGATTAATCGTTTATAATGTATATAAACAATAATTAAATATTTTGTAAATTATAATTTTTCTTTTAGCTTTGTGGTGTATTCTTTGATACAACATAGAATAAAATAAAAAAATATATAAAAGACAAAATTGTTAAATGTTTAAAAGAAAATTATAATGAAAAAACATAATGTAAACTGGAATTTTTTGTTGTTAAGGTATATGCCCGTTCATCGTGAGATCTACGGTTACTCGCCAAGGCAAATCTACCCTCACCAATACAAACCCGTAGAACGCTTCACCCCTGGTACGTACTAAAGAAATCAGAAAAAGTCAGAAAATAAAAAGAAAAGAATAATGAACGACCTCTGAAAGAAACTCGAAGCGCGAAACGAAACGATAGACATATATATATACATATAAATATATATACACACACCGCACACGAAAAAATGTGTATATATATATATATATATATGTATATGTATATATTTCTTTAATGTTGTATATACACACGTAACCATTTATGTTATGTATAAATGAGTAGAACTCGAAGGAAGAAAATAATCAGTGATTAAAGATAAGAGAGGAAAGGAAAAAAAAACAATTCAAAAAAGAAAAACGCGATACAGACATGTCAACTGCGAAGATTCGTTTGTTTGAACGATTATTCTTCAACAAATTATATATTTAAGTACTACATATTAACGAGCACACGAAGACGCAATAATAATCGCGAATTCTCGATTATTTTTGACCTCCCAAAAGATCTACGTTCGTTCCAAAGTAATTTAAAAATAAAATCACTTGAATTTTGGGAAGGCAAAAATAAATCGATAAAGTTTCGAGAGATCTCGATAAAATATAAACGAACCATCATCGCATGCATCACATTGTTCGACCATCTCTCTCGATTTAATAAAAAATCAACGATATCTCGACGCTCGATCAAAAACAAAAAATATCATTTAAAAAGTCCAACTAAAAATAATACACATACACATATAAAAAAAGAAAAAAAGAAAAACAAGAACAACCATTCACATCCATGTCTTTTGTTTAATACTCGAATTTCCACGTGAAAAAGATTTAATAACTGTGTACTAAAAACTGTACTAAAGACTAATCGTCTTTTACCTTCCACGTTATATCATATGTCACACGTGTAATTGTCACTCACTAATTTATCTTATTTGTACCTTAATAAGTATATTGAAGTAATACTATATATATATATATATAATATACGTCTCATATACCATAATATCTGTTTATATATATGTATGTCTCTTTAAAGTGTATGCGTAATGCACGAGCATACGCGATATAAGATTTCCGTCATTTACGTATATGTAAATTTCGCATAATTAATTTAAAAAACAAAAAAAATAATATACACACACATACATATATTAATTATTATCAAAGTATGTATGCTAGAGAGAGTTGTTTGTGTCATCGCGACGATTCGTGTCCCTTCGTCGTACATCGAAGATAATCATGTCCAAGGATCAAGATCGAGAAAATTTAAAAAAAAAAAAAAAAAAGACAAAAAAGGAAACAACGTCACAAGAAAAATGAAAGAATATTCAAAGAAAAATTTAAAAAAAAAAAAAAAATCATCAATCAAATCGAATAAGAATCGATAATCATCTTCATTGTTCCTGCACATCATCCATCTGTATCTGTGCTATCATTTCAAATAAAAAGGAGAGAGGTGGAAAGAAAAAGTTCAATATAAAAAAAAAAAAGAAAAGAAAAAAAGCAAAAAGAAAGGAGAACAAGAGAAAAAGAATTCTGGCTGATTTTAATTTCTTTCCAGGAACTAGGCCAAGCAAGTTGCGCATAGTGAACCGCAGCCTCGATCTGAGTGATCTTAGGCGTCAAGAAATAGCTCGAAAATGGCAAAGAAGGGAAGAAATAGCGATAACATATAGAACACGATTCCATCAACGTTTTAGAAATTATTAATTACCACCACGAACACATTTCGCGATTTGTTAATTTATTTCTCGTTGTTGTTGTTGTTGTTGTTTTTTGTTCTTTTCTCTTGTTTTTTATAGCCTTTTTTCGTTCCCATTCATAGGACACAATTATCGTAACGTTTTATATGTTCATTTTCATTGAGAATAACTAAACGCGATGATTTATTGATTGATTGATTGATTGATTGATTGATTAATTAATTAATTTTATTTATTTATATATATATAGTATTAAAAATTAATTGATTAATTAATTATTAAAGATTGAGGGACACATTTGAAGAGAATTTAGTTAGAATGAGAAAACAAATTATTTCTATTTATTTGTTTAATTGTATCCATTCAAAATAAATTGTTAACTATTACAGCCGCGGTGGAAGTCTTCGCATGAAAAAAAAAAAGAAAAAATAAACTGTCTTACAACGTGCGTCGTGATCTATCTGAGATGTTTATAAACAATTAGTACAAGAGAGGAAGATGTAATTGAGAAAAAGAAAAGAAAAACACAAAAAAAAAAGAAAATAGAAACGAAAAAAAATTACAAATAAAGGAAAAAAAAAAAACAGATGGACGATGGACGCACGGAAATAAAATTACAAAAATCTAAATCAATGTCATAATCGAAGCTCGGAAACACGAATGATTTTTCTGAGCGAAGGGAATGCGATAGTTGCGAATCCAACTGAAAAAGAAACCAAAGAGAAAAAAAAAAAAGAAGAAGAGATTTACACACGATCTGCGGAGATATTTATTTAATTTTAATAAATGGACAATCAGTAGAAAAGCCATACTTGAAAAAGCTGGAAATTTCAGCTGATAATGTTATTATAATCGTTTCTTTTTCGTCTGGTTCTCTCTTTCGTAAATGATTTCTATATTTGTTTTTTTTAATCCTCTATATTAATTTATGTTTTTAAAAATTATATATTAATTATTATCAATAATATACTAAGGTAAAGCAGAGTGCAAAATACATCGATAAAATCATTTATCAACTTGAGGTATAGATATTATTGTCGATAATGTGTCACTCTCCTTTGACTGATATTAATATTTCTTATATGGAAAAAAAATTATATTTTAATATACAAACACAAATTTGAAAAGAAAATAATTATTATAGAGGATTAATCGTAACTCCTTAATGTTCTTATTATATGCCTGTATCCAATTGTTATTAATGTTTTATTTGATTACACGATCAGAGAGAATTTGGAACGAAAAAAAAAGGAAAATTAAAAAAAGAAAAAAAAAAAAAAGAAAAATCAATTGCATATTTTCATTTAATAATCTGCTCTAATAATGGTACATGCACGCGTATAAAACGGTTATGTTTACTAACAAACGGCAAATTAACGAAACATAATTATTAATTCATTGATCAAGCAGGACGCAGAAATTTCTGTCTTTTTCAGGAAACGGCATGTTCTTTCTTTCCGTTTTACCTACTCTCTTTATGGCCCTTTTTATATCTATAATATCCAACAATACCTAGTATAATCTCCTCTTTTATATATACATATATATATCTCCTAGTTAAAAAAAAAATCTTTTCGCAAAATAATTAACTACCGCTATCGCGGCGACGATCATGATCGATAAGATCGATAAAATATATTTTTGCAAAGACTCGAAGAACACCTTGCACAAGATACTCACACAAATAAAAGTTCATTTTCAAATCATTCCAAGCAGTCGTGGGCAACGATATAATAACAATTATTATTATTATTATTATCGTAAGTTTAAAATATAAAAAAGTTTGCCCACGATTGACCCATATTCAAATGTTTTATAGTAACTTACTATAAAATAAAGCCTAACGAAGTAGATATAGAAGAGATTACTTAATTATTGATTTTATTATAACAACGCTAATACAATTAGATAAATACTTGGACACGTATTACTTACGTTCAACGAATAATAAATTAATGAAATTATTTTTAAATAGAAAAAAAAAGAAAGAAAAAAGGAAAAATGATGTAGAAACGTAGAATTCGACGCAACTCGTTCACCCAAAATTCGATGAATTGGATGATCCGATGATTAATCTTTTTTTTTTCATGAACGCAACGTAGCGAACGAATTTTTTTCGAAAAAGCAAAAACCAAAAAAAGAAAAAAAAAAGAAAAAATAGAAAAGAAATAAAACCGAAACGTTACTCTTTTTTGGATACGTGACCATCGCCGCTTTTTGTCTCTCGTGACCTCTCAATCAGAGGACGAGGTTTTTTTGAAGCAGCTTTTTTCCACAAGGTTAGTATGCTTTTTTCACCTTACGTGACGTATTTTGTAGCGAATCATGAACGCTCACACTTTTTACTCCGATCTACAATGTCATTGATCGGAATTTACAACAACAATATGCTAGAAAATTATAAGCACGGCTTATAAGATTTTTCATTTTTAATTTTTCTTCTAACGCTACGTCGTTCAATTTAAAAACTAATTCTGAGCACGTTAAACGAGACAGTCTCACATTTAATCCCGCACTCTTACTTACCAATAATCTTATCGGATTAATTAATAAGTAATCAATTCTTGAAATAATAATATATTTGTTCGATTCTTTTTCGTATTTAAAATTAATTAATCCGAGAAGGCTTGTGTAATTAATGTCAACATTTTTTAATCGCATTTTACGGAGATATATTTTTACAGGATATGATTAAAAAGCGTTGACGTTAATTATTAATTTTTGCACAGACGATAGAAAATAATAAAAAGGAAGGAAATTTTCTAATTAAAACAAAAAAAAAATAAATTTCACCTATACTAGAGAGATCGCGGGAATGTGGCAAAGTATTTGTTGTTGCATGATTTTTTTCTTCTTTATAACCATCGTAGAATACCTATTTGCAAATTGTTAGAAAACCACCGCTGTATTTTAAACTAACTCGATTAGTAAAAAAAAAAGCATGTTAGAACAAAATTTCACGCAAATGCCTACGATGCTTCGTCGTTAGTAACTTTTTACTGATCGTGAGAGAAACGATTTTGGAAATAAAAAAAAAAAAAAAAAAGAAAATAAAGAAACAAGGAAATGTTTTTTTACAAATTGAAAAATATTTTTAAAATATCGGTACATGTACATGTAAAAATGGGGGAAAAAAAAAACCCAAGATATATATATATACGTCAAATATATCGTTGGAGTGAAAAGGAAGCGCCGAAAAAAGTTAATTTAATTAACGTTTAACCCTTTCTTTACCAAAAATCATACAAAGGCCCGTATGTACGATCGAATTTTAATATGAAACGATACTCTCGCCAAAGCATATCGTAACGAAAGAGTTAAACGTATTAAATTTATTGAAATATTCTGTCTCTTCGTCTTTTTTAATTATTCACAAATGATTGTGGATAACCGGAAAATAAATGTTTAAAGATTTTCTCTAAGAAAAATCAAAAGAAAAGAACTTTTTCGATAGATCTGATACAATGGATACGAATAATAAGAGAAAATCTAGCACATCGAATATAAATGTTAATTAATAATAATAACAAACAAAAGAGTCAAATTATAATGACTTTTCTTCATCGTTCAAACGAAAGAAGCATATACATTTAAAAAAATAAAATAAAATTATTTTCTATACAATTTTTGGCGTCAGTAGTTTTTAGTGTTGCTATGTGAGAATTGGTGTTTTCTTACCAGGAATGTTAATTCGAATATTATAGTTATATAAACGTAGGTCTATTAACATATATTTAGGAAAAACATCTAATTCATTAAATAATGAAAATTCGAACGAATTAGATCTTTTTGCCTATTATCCAAAGAAATTCTAAATAAATTCAAGAAATGAATTTAATAGACCTACTCAATAGATCGAACAAAGATAAACAATTCGAAAATGAAATAGATATAATAATAATAATTCCTATGACTTGTATAATTTTATATTAAATTAATTTCGAATTGTTTGTCATTAAGCGAATGAACCAATCGTGTTTTAACACCTGGATAAACTTGATTCTTTGGAATAATTAAAGCACAATAAATTAAATCTATATATATTTAATTCGGTGAAAAGATTATCCAGTTGTCAACACGAAATAATAATAATTTAAAATAGCAATTAAATAAATTCATTAAAATGTCAATACACAGCAAAACCATTTGACGCTGAGAAAGCTTGGACCGATCATCTAAATCGTTTGGCTGACATCGACAAACTTTACCCGAGTAGGTCTCCATTACTTGCTCGACACATAAGTCCACCTCTTAGCACGAAGAAACTCTTTGATATCCATGGTAAATTAATAATATAATTTATGTGTTCATAATAATAATTATTAAATTAAAATAATGTCTAAAATTTTGTTTATTTCTTTTCTCTTTTGTTTAGGTAACTTATTAACTGATGATATCTTCCCAAGTTACTCATCGTTCCTTCGCAGAAAACCTTTTATGGATTTACTTGAACCATCTCCAACAGCTCCGATCAGTGCCTTCACGAGAGACCCTTGGTGGTATCCAAGTTATGCTCCGTATATTCCAAGCTATGCTCAATACAGCACTCCGTTTTATCTGAGGGACAGCTACCTTAGCCCAATTAAACGTAGCTTCTTATGGAGCCGACATCCTATTAGACCGCTTGGTATGTTTCAATATATTTTAATATCAACTTTGATATATCAATTTTTTATCTTTTTCTATCTATCTACTTTTTTCTATCTTTTTCTATCTTTTTCTATCTTTTTCTATCTTTTTCTACCTATCTACATTTTTCTATCTTTTTTTATCTTCTTTTTCTAATAATACACTTGTGCATTTTAAATTAAGAATTGTTCTTCCTATTTTCTTTCAATTTTTTTCTTTCCTTTTTTTTTTTTTTTCATTTCTTAATTCAATTTCATAAACGACGAATCACATCATCGATGTTGAAAGAATTTTTGACGCGTCGAAAATAATCACCCTAAGGGAAAAAAAATCATGATTTTGACAATACCCACGGAGTATTCGTATAATATTTTTTCTTCTTAAAAGTACAAATACCTGTGCTTCGTGCGGCAAGGTATTGTATTAGAAAAGAGATTAAATTGAATCTCAAATACGAAGGAATAATATTCTACAACAAAACAATCTATCTGTCGTTTCAGGAGCATTATACTACTATTATTCGCAGCCAGTTCCAGTATATCACTTTACCAGCCCGTGGTACAATAAACATTAAGAACAAATAAGAACAATGAAAAGAACTTAAACAAAATGAACAAAAAAAAATGTGAGCGATCAAACGAAAAATTAATGACCATCGTAAAGTGTTCTTTTAATATTCTCTTACCATCTTACTCCCTTAAGTTTTGTCCGTGCGTGTTTTAATTAAACTTTAAATTGTTGTTTCCCAAAACAAAACAAAAAAACCAATACAAAATAGGAAAAAAAAAACAAGACAGAAAATCATTAATTACGATGACGATGATAATGATGATGATGATGATGATGAAGATAAAGAAACAATCATAAAATAAATTTATATTTTCTAATATTAACCCTTTCGTTACAAGCGACCCATTTAGGTGTCGTACCAAAACATGCCACAACGAAAGGGTTAAATAAATCATAACTAAATTACTTATAATAATAACAATTAAATACACATACATAGAACTGTCCTGCCCACTCTTAATATTAACAGTTTATATTCATAGAAATATCCGGTAATCATATTTATGTTCGTGAAATAATATCAACGATATGGAAAGTGTTTTCTTGTACGTAATTTTCGTAAGAATTCAATTGTTTTCATTGTCATTTATCTAACAGACATTTAAATGAATTTATTTATCCTAAAATTTCGATTTTTACATACAAATTTCATTCGATTATTTCCAACTAATTTTCTCTTTTCATTTCATTCGAACTAAAAATCAGTTGTGAACGTTTGCCTACAAGAAATTAATATCTAATTCGGTTTCTTTGTAAATCCTTAAAAATTATTTTATTTTCATTAAATAAATTTTAATATACAGCATAATTATATTTTATATTTTAAAAATTGATGAAATTTAATAAAAAGTTTGTTCTCTCATTTGATTAAGCTTTAATATATTTTTATATGTAAATATAAATGAATATATGCAAATATTTGCATTATTTGATTGATGCACTAGCGTTTTTTAAAATTTTTTTTAAAATTAAAATTAAAAATTGTCATCGACGATAATTTTTAAGGATTAAAACAAGAATAAGAATATTTCTTATGTTCTTATAGGACGTTCAATCTTTAAAAACTAAAAAATCTACGAAAGTGTGAATTTCTTTAAAAAGAATTAAATACCAAAAAAGTACAAAAACAAATTTAAAACAAGAAAAAAAAGAAAAGGAGAAGGGACTTACGAACCTTCACCGATCATCGCGAATTTCTACTTATCGCGATTTCTATTTATTTCTATCTAATTTATCTCACCCTCTTGTCTTCTTTTGTTACTTTTTATTTGATTATGTGTTCTTTGTATAATATATATATATTTCTCTTTGTTTTGTTTTATTTTATTTTATTTTATTTTCAATTAATATGAAAATTGTTAATAATACTATATATATATTTATTTTATTTTAGCTCACGTCTACTGATAACTCAACTCCAACTTAAAAACATACATATATGTCGCCCCGTATGGAACGCGTTAAACGAATCTCCCGACGATCGAAGAAGGAAGTGACGTATGCAAAGTGGAAGTGAAAATGAGTATGAAAAATTAAAGAAAAAAATAAACAAAATTTAACAAAAAAAAAATAATAATAAATATATAACAACATCGACAATAATATCAACGAGGAGAAAGGAAGTACACTTACGTCTCTGGTATCCTGAAAAGAAAAAACCAAAAACAAAAATAACACAAAATTCTGTATATCTCTATACTTCTTATCCTAAAAAAAAAAAACAAAAAAGCCAAACAAACAAACAGAACAATAACATTAAAACTCGAGAGCATGGGAATTTTATTTATTTATTAATATTTTCTCGAAACGCGATCTACAACATAATAATTAATAATAATATATTGTATTTCACGTTCGTGATGTCCGAGAATAAAATAATAATAAACACTGCCAGAAACTTATTGGAAAAATTAAACAAAAAAAGGAAAAAAACCAATTCTAATTGTACAGTCAGTTCTTGACTTACGACGGGGTTTGTTTCCACAACTTCGGACGTAAGTCGAATTTCATACAAAGATAAATAATATAATATAATAGACATATATATATTATTGATGTATTCTGAGCGAAAAAAAGTACGCCCCTAAAATATTTAAATAAAAAATTTTTGTTGTAATTACCTCTCGTTGAGGTGTCAGTCTGTCGGTCTGTCTGTATTCATAATTTCTTTTTTCATTTCTATTTTCATTACTATCAAAAAAATTCAGATATTTATATTTTTAAAACTTAAATTAAAAAATAATTGGTTACTTAATAACAAATAAAGAATAACTAAATATCAGTCAATAACCAGTCAAAAAACTAATATAATCAATTATAAACATATGAGGAGATACCACAATTATATAAGCAAATATATAATGGCTTTTATTTCTTTTTTCTTTTTTTTCGTCAAAAGTACGAATGGTCGTAAGTCGAGGTTGTCGTAACTCGAGAACTGACTGTATTTCGTTTGATAATTAATCCTAAATTAAAAATGACCTTTTTATTATAATAATAATAATAATAATAATTAGATAAATGTGAATCGTTGCAGAGAGAGAAAGAAAAGATGTGTACAACAATATGCACGTTTATTATTTGAAAGTTTTACATCTTCAGGATGTTTTTTTATATTACTCGTTGGGCTACATTTCTGTCGAGATTCGATCGATGGTCTTATCTTTCTCTTTCTCTTTATCGTTTCTTATTTTTATTTATTTATTTAGTTATCTCTTCATTAACGTCGTTTATGCAAATATTTGTAATTTATCCTTAATCTTCTCTCAAATTTCACAAAATGATCCATCCATCGACGAATCACGATCGACCTTTGCCCATTTACAAATATAATATATGAATCTGGGACAAAAAATGCATATCAAGGGAATCACAACCGCTCCATTATTAATCATTCATCAAAAAAGAGAGAAAGGTATATGGGCATGGGGAATGGAGGGAAGACCAAGGGTTTCGGTCTTATTTTGTTCATCAAACTTGCACTTATTTATTTTCAACTAATCTACGACAACAACAACAGCTGGCTATTCTTTTTTCAAAATGATCTTTTTAAACATTGTCATTGCAATTATTGTTGTCGTCATTACGTCAAATCACCCTTATGGTTACTTGATCTCCACGAGTAACAGACGATGCACAGCGGAGGAAGAAAAAAAAATATATGTAAGCAAGAAGAAAATATCTCCTCATACTTTATACATACATAAATGCATGCATACATACATACATACATATATATATATATATATATATATATATATATATATATATATATAANTATAAACGAACAATTATGAAAGCGATCTGTAAGCATTTGTTAATTTTTGAAATATTTTGAATTGAAATGAATATTTTTTTTATAACGAGAGGCACAAGCATGTACAAAAAGAAGTAAGTATATATTATTATATATTATATATTATTTATTCTTGAAAAAAATATCCTTTTATGTATGTTTTTATTATTCTCCCTTTTATGGGTTTGAGAGACCTTAACAATGCCTTTTTGCAATACTAACATACCTTCCTAAAATAAATAGTACACGGTGTTTTCAAGCAATCACCCATCCAACTACTAACCGTGCCTATTGTTCTTTAATTTTAGTGATCTAACAGGAACTAGTGTTTTTCAATAAGACGAGACTGTTGACTCATTCTTTTATGTAATTTAACAATTTGAAGAACATAAAAATATATCTGTGTGTGTATATTGTGAAAGAAAATATATTTGTATCTTTGACATATCTCAAATGCGACTTTAGACTGCTTCCATAATTATCTACTCATATATATGTATGAATGCATATACGTGTATTTGCTTTTCTTCAAATATTTCCATTTTGTTTACTTCTTCTCCTCCTCCTCCTCCTCTATTTCCTCCTTCTCCTCCTTTTTCTTCTTCACTCTCGGCTGACCACGCTTCACAGATCAAGTAACTAATTAAAAATGTCAAACTATAGAATATATTTATAGTTACTTCATAATAAGCGCTATATATATAATAAGAGAAGTAAAACAATACAGGCGATGATATTTAGTATTATACCATAATTAAAAATGCAATTTAAAAGAAATGCTATTTCTTTCTCTACAATTTAATAGTAATAGTAATAGTAATAATAATAATAATAATAATAGTAGCGGTAGAGTAATGTGACATTCTCTCTCTAATAATAATATTATTAATTATATTCATTTGTAATAATTAATTAATTACTAATATTTTGTAATTAATTAAATTAATAATAATAATGGAAGGAATCAACGTGTAGAAAATGTAACGTCGCATATTAGCGAACGTGGCTTCGTTATCGATCGTTCATTTTATTTATACAACATGGCAACTTAGAAATGCGAAGAAATCAAAAATTACGTGGTTCCGATATTATTATATACTTCATTTTATTGATTTATTTATTGTTTTCTTTTTTTTTTTATGGAAGAGATAAGTATATATACGTTCAAAGATCTTTTCATTTATTTCGTTTTATTTAATCGAAAAAAGAAATTAAAAAAAAAGACAATTTCTGTGTTATTTTTCTAACATAAAAATTGCCAATTGCGTATCGAGGACCTCGTTTATATTACTTGTTTATTTATTTAATTTGTTATTTAATTAATTACAGAAAAATCTCATTACATGTTTGAGTCTCATTAGTCTTAAGAAAAATCATGTCAACAAATACCAAGTGGATTACGACCACATATCATCAATTGCACATTGTGTTTCAATAACTTGGCACTTTTCGACAAGAAATCAAAACAGAGTGACTGTGCTGTTTGGAACTCGAACAATTAACTTTTCATATTGGAACTTAATCCTTTGTTTAAATCCCCCATTTGTTCGCATACATAATATCCTAGCAATAAAAAACATCATTTGTGATAATTAGTAGTAAATATTTTACTTAATCATCAGAAATGCTGTTTTCATTTCTCTTATCTCTTTTTTATCATATATTTCCACAACTCATTGGATTAAAAAATATAAATAAAATATATATATATTTATATAGATATCTTTGAACGTGCCCTCGGTATGCATATAATCAAATATTATCATAGAGATTGCTAATATTAAAATCAATAATATTTTAAATGTGATATTTAAACAAAAGAAAACAAGAATGAAAAAAAAGAAAATGAAAAGTTACAAAAATAAAGAAAAAGAGAAATAAAAGATAATAAAAGAACATAAACACTACAGAAACTTCTTACTATGTACACTTGCAGCATTCTATGTTATGTTAATAACTGAATAAACTGCAATGCTTATAATGAGAATAACAATTATAAAGATAATGAGATGGTTAGAATGGTAATGATTGTAATAATGATAATTATGATAATTATGATAATTATGACAACGATGATGACGATGAAGATGACTATGAATAACGTTGAATGATGGACAATGATAACAATAAATAATATTAGTAGTAGTAATTAATTAGTTGAAAAAATCTCTAAAACAACGCGGACATTGATCAATCTAGAATTGATGCCTCTTTGAACTCACAAGCATGGAAGCAATAAATACTTAATTAAACTTTGAAATTGTTCTCCGGACCATTAATACTTGACCAAAAAAAAAATAACTACAACGGCTACAGAGATTGTTAAAACACAATTTATTTGCAATGACTTTAAATATATATATATATATATATATTATATATATATATATATTTAATATA